TGTGTGTCTGTGTGTGTGTGTGTGTGTGTGAGTGTGTGTGTGAGTGAGTGTGTGAGTATGTGTGAGTGTGAGAGTGAGTGAGTGAGTGTGTGTGTGTGTGTGAGAGTGTGTGAGTGAGAGTGTGAGTGAGTGAGTGTGTGTGTGAGTGTTTCCTCACCTTTGAGAAGAGTCCGAAACACGCCACGCTGCTGATGATGCAGTACGCCTCTGGAACACGAGCGCCGCGGCCTTCCGGCTGACAGAGAGAGAGAGAGAGAGAGAGCTCATGAATTATTCAGCAGCATTCTGATCATATGCTAATGACATCCGCTTTCACTGATGGTCATTTCATAATTTATAATAATAGAGTGAATAACTACTAAAAATATTAACATTGTATTTATAAAATTATAAAGTTTTTCATTATAAACACTTTATTTTCATTCATTATAAATAAAAGAAATACTATATTTAATACATATATGTAATTCTATATCGTCAATATTTTTAAATTTTTAATGTTTTTAAATATTCTAAATATTTAATAATAATTATGATAAGCTTTTAATATATATTCTGAATTATTTAATATTAAGTATAAATATTCTAATGAATAATTATAAAAAAACATTAACAATGATAAATCATCATCATAATTACTAAATATTATAGAATATTTAATGTGATACATATTAACAATTACATATTCAATATTTTTATTTTTTTATTTTACTCATTATTCATTATTATTATTATTAATTTAGTATTAATATTCTAAAGAATTATTAAAAATGTATGATTATTTTACAGTGATCTTACATCGCTTTTATACTTCTATCTTCTAGTTCTACTATCTTCTAAAAGATTCATTTGAAACTATTGGTTCTAGAATTCTTGCAATTATTAATAGTAGCCTGGACTCGGGAGTTGTACCGAAGTCTTTTAAACATTGCAGTGGAACCAGTAATCAAGAAATCTCATTTGGATCTCAAAACTTCTGTTTCTTTCCAAACTACTGGAGAAGGTTGTATTTGGACAATTCAATTCATTTCTAGATCTACATGGTATTCACGAAGTGTTTCAGTCTGGTTTTAAATCTTTACATAGAACAGACACTGCACTGTTGAAGGTTTTTAATGACTTGTTACTTGCTACTGACTCAGGGGACTGTGCGATTTTAATTCTACTAGACCTTTGGGATGTATTTGATACTGTAGACCATAAGATCTTGATTACACGCTTAGAACAATGTGTTGGTATTAAGGGCACTGCGTTGGGATGGTTTAGATCCTATTTGTCCAAAAGAAGAACTTTCTCAGTTCGTTTTGGAGACTTTGTCTCCTCAACTGCTTCTTTCACGTGTGAGGTCCCCCAGGGCTCTATTTTGGGGCCTATTCTGTTTGTATCATTGATATTTTTATTCTTTTATGTGTGTACAGCACTTTGATAAACACTTGCTGTTTTTTAAAAAGTGCTTTATAAATTGACTTTGATACAGTGCTAAAAAAATTCATTATAAATATTTTCTTTACTTTTAATTGTTATAGATACTAAATAATAGGAAATGTTTAAAATAACAACATGTAAAATAATTATATTAAATATGACATTTTACATAATATTATTATCATTTAATATTTTTACTGTGAATATTGTGTGATATTTAATAGTGCGTGAAGTTCACCAGCAGTCTCCTGCAGTATCCGTTCCTCCTGCTGCCATCAACCTCAGTCAGAACGAACGAGAACGTCTCACTGCAGAGAGTCAACAAACCAGAGAGTTTCAGTAACGCTCTCCAAACCAACACACACTTCCTGTGGATGAAGACTGAGACGCTCAGATCTGACAGGATGTTCAACCGTAACACACTCTGATGATGGGGTTTCGCTTTAAACACGGCAAAACACTGTCAGAGCGCAAGAGATTCAGTCCGAGATTCACAGTCAGAGAATCAGTCAGAGATTCAGTCAGAGATTCAGTCAGATTCATTCAGAGAATCAGTCAGAGATTCAGTCCGAGATTCACAGTCAGAGAATCAGTCAGATTCATTCAGAGAATCAGTCAGAGATTCAGTCCGAGATTCACAGTCAGAGAATCAGTCAGAGATTCAGTTAGAGATTCAGTCAGAGATTCACAGTCAGAGATTCAGTCAGAGAATCAGTCAGAGATTCACAGTCAGAGATTCAGTCAGAGATTCACAGTCAGAGATTCACAGTCAGAGATTCACAGTCAGAGAATCAGTCAGAGATTCAGTCAGAGATTCAGTCAGAGATTCAGTCAGAGATTCAGTCAGAGATTCAGTCAGAGATTCAGTCAGAGATTCAGTCAGAGATTCAGTCAGAGATTCAGTCAGAGATTCATTCAGAGAATCAGTCAGAGATTCATTCAGAGATTCAGTCAGAGATTCAGTCAGAGATTCATTCAGAGAATCAGTCAGAGATTCATTCAGAGATTCAGTCAGAGATTCAGTCAGAGATTCACAGTCAGAGATTCAGTCAGAGATTCAGTCAAAGAATCAGTCAGAGATTCAGTCAGAGATTCATTCAGAGATTCAGTCAGAGAATCAGTCAGAGATTCATTCAGAGAATCAGTCAGAGATTCACAGTCAGTGAATCATTCAGAGATTCAGTCCGAGATTCATTCAGAGATTCAGTCCGAGATTCACAGTCAGAGAATCAGTCAGAGAGTCATTCAGAGATTCAGTCAGATAATCAGTCAGAGATTCATTCAGGGAATCAGTCAGAGATTCACAGTCAGTGAATCATTCAGAGATTCAGTCAGAGAATCGTTCAGAGATTCACAGTCAGAGATTCATTCAGATTCAGTCAGATTCACAAGCTGTGTCTCATTTAGAAGGCTGCACCCTCCGGAGGTCGAATCCTCTGTAGGATGCATATACGAAGTGTCCTCAACCTAGAATTAAACGAGACGGCCTTCGTAGGACGGGCGGAAAAGGAAACCGGAAGTATCGCGTTGCTATGCCAACACATTTAAGAATCAGTCAGAGATTCAGTCCTAGAATCAGTCAGAGATTCAGTCCGAGAATCAGTCCGAGAATCAGTCAGATTCATTCAGAGGATCAGTCAGAGATTCAGTCAGAGATTCAGTCCGAGAATCAGTCCGAGAATCAGGCAGATTCATTCAGAGAATCAGTCAGAGATTCAGTCAGAGAATCAGTCAGATTCATTCAGAGAATCAGTCAGAGATTCACAATCAGAGAATCAGTCAGAGAATCAGTCAGAGATTCAGTCCGAGAATCAGTCAGAGATTCAGTCAGAGATTCAGTCCGAGATTCAGTCCGAGATTCAGTCCGAGAATCAGTCCGAGAATCAGTCAGATTCATTCAGAGGATCAGTCAGAGATTCAGTCAGAGATTCACAGTCAGAGATTCAGTCAGAGATTCACAGTCAGAGATTCAGTCAGAGAATCAGTCAGAGATTCAGTCAGAGAATCAGTCAGAAGAGCGAGTGTGTGTGTGTGTGTGTGTGTGTGTGTGTGTGTGAGTGTGTGTGTGTGTGTGAGTGTGTGTGTGTGTGTGTGTGTGTGTGTGCATGTGTGTGAGTGAGAGTGTGTGTGTGTGCGTGTGCGTGTGAGTGCGTGTGTGTGTGAGTGAGAGTGTGTGCGTGTGCGTGTGTGTGAGTGAGAGTGTGTGTGTGTGTGTGTGTGTGTACCTCCTGTATTCGGTCAGAGGAGCCCAGTTGATTCCCTCTGGGAAGCAGAAGAGATGAGCGGCCTTCATGCACTTCTCCTCTTCCTCACGCTGCAGACGGCCCATCACCTCACGCTACACACACACACACAATGCATTCATAATTTTTAGAAATATTTTAAAATGTAATATTATTAGGGTATTTTCACACCTGTAGATCGATTGCTTTGTTCCGAAACAGGGATTCAAATTATTACAATCTTGCTTTTTATTCTTGGTGCGGTTCGCTTTCACACGGCAAAGTTTCTAAACGGACCAAATTTGTAAACTGTGAGTAAACTGTTCTCTCATTGGTCAAAGTTCCACGATTCCACTGAGCTGTCATGCATGTCATCCGTCAGGATGGAACGACAACAGCTTCGCGGGCTTATCGTTGTTGTTTTTTTGTAGCTGTCGTTATAATAATTCATAATTTTGAGCAGGAGTCCAGGATTCATTGGGAAAACATTTTT